GTTATAATGACAGAAACATCCTATGCGACTGGCCCTACAACGCAACCCACCACCATCGTCCTTGATCCTCAATATAAGGAGAACATTCTTGTAACAGAAAGAGTGCTTGCTCCTGCTTCTGGTTTGCAGGGCATGTTAGACATCCCTGATTTGTCAAATAGACATAACGTTAGGGTAACCGAAAGGCTGATTAGGTCAGATGATACTATGCCTGGAGTCTTAAAAGTTCCCGACTTCCCTGATTCACAGTATGTTGTTGTAAGGGAGAGGGAGAGACTGCTTGTACCTAGTTCAGATCTAAAGGGCTCGCTAAGCATTCCCAATTTATCAGAAGGGCAGAATGTGGTGATAACTGAAAACTTGGTGACACCCACCTCCGGGCTGCAGGCTAGTTACACAACTCCAGCTCAGATTTCAGGGATGCAAAACATTAGAGGACAGACCACCCTCTCTGGACCTGGAAGGCAGGAGCATATACTAATCACAGACCCCCTACTTAACCAAACAGGCTTAGGTTTGGAGGATTCTTCTACCCTCGGTAAGTCTTCAAATATCACAAAATACAGCACTGTACAGTATACACGCTCATAATATATGTAATTCTCAGACAGCTCTGCTAGGCATCATTTATATCTGGATCAGCCACAACTTTCACTTCTTAAGCTTCAGAGGGGTAACCGAGTTAGTCTGTAACTGGAAAAATTTAAAAAACAACAAATAGTCTAGCAGCACCTTAAATACTAGCAAAACATGTGGATGGTTTCATGAGCTTTCATGGGTACAATCCACTTCTTCAATCCAACTTCTTCACTTCTTAGTATCTCAAGAAATCAACTTCCTTGTGCTTTGAAAAATGACATGGATTTTCTTACAGCAGTTTCTGTAAATAAGAAATATGAGCTGGGGAAAAAACAGCTCACTTTACAAAGTTCTTAGTTAGACAGTTAATAGGAATAATGTTTCCTTGTTTCTTCCTCTCTACCACTGTATAATTCTTCACATTGATTGGTGAGAGCTAAGCCCATTACCCACGTGCAGAGTACGATATACTTAAAAAGCCAGAAAGGTCTCTAATGATCAACAAAAAATATTGTTAAACTAAATGTCTAGAACCATGGTCCCCAACACGGTGCCCGCGGGCGCCATGGCGCCCGTGGGGGCATTTTAATGCCCCCGCCAGGTGCTCGGGGCTGGCCTGGGAGCATCGGGCGCGCGGCGCTTGCGGGGGAGAGCGCCGGCCCCGGGCGCGCGGCGCTTGAGGGGAGAGCGCTAGCCCCGGAATGCGGCTATGGGGGGGCCCCGCCCCTCCGGGCGCCCGGCGGAGCACCGGGCATGCGGCTATGGGGGGGGGCGCTCCCGGGCGCGCAAGTGTCCCCGCCCCCTGGTGCCCGGCAGGTGAACGGCCACGCCCCCTGGCGCCCGACAACCTCAAAAGGTTGGGGACCACTGGTCTAGAAGATAGGAGACAAACAGTTCATAAAGTATCTTGGAGGAGCTCTGGAACTTAGTCATCAATTTCATTCCCTTTCATCTAAAAGGACCAGAAACAACTTTTCCTGACAGAGGTGAGGGACTGTATATCGCAGGCTGCAGCAAATTTTACAAATGGCGGAATTTGTCAGTATTTTCAGAAATACTTTGAGTCAGATACTGTGAGATTTAGTCCTCACATGTTTCTGTGAGGTGCACACTGCCTCATACCTAGGAAAATCTGTTCTTCAGAATGTATTCCAAAGAACCAATAGGTATGCCATATGTACACCTCATGTAGGAAACCAGATATTTTGACATCTAATCTGAATTTTGATTTCTTCTCCCACCTTCCATTTACATATTTACCTTTTAAGGAATATTTTAATACCACAGCCTTGAAAATAACTAAACTTGAAAAGATAAAACTGTTGAACAAGTTGCCTTGAAAAAAATAATTTCCATCTTGTCTCTGTGAATTTTGGTTGTAGTTATGGTGTAATGCTTACATTGTAAAATCAAAAGGAAAATTTCCCTGCAGTGATTCCAGTCCAAGTACCAAGAAAAATGTGCCTTTACAAATGAGAATTTGTGTTGCAGTGTTTCCTCAAGACTTTTAAATAATTTGTGGATCTTGTCTGTGGAGATCTTCTTTCTCTTTCTCCTTTAAAATGTGCAACACGTTAGGCCAAAAAAAAAAAGGCTAAGGCCTGCCAAGCAGCCAAACCTGTTGTGTTCCCAGAAATGCTGCTTATGGAACTCACAGGGAGGATACCTATCAGCATTTCATATCATTCAAAGCAGTACTTGCACCTTGGTGCAGAGTTTGTAGAGTAAGTAGCAAGACAGCTGAGATGCCTGCAGAGCACCAGGTTTGATGTAATGCACATAAGCATTTAATCATCCATATTTTGCTAACTTTTATTGGTCACTAAATAACATATGAAACAAGCACAGCTTTCCCTCTTTCTACCACTGTGAGCAAAGATGTAGGACTACTGTTAGACATAACTGAGATGACTTAGACAGTTTAGGACCTGGTTTGCAGATGTAATTAGGAAAGTCACCAAAATTGTGTTGTGAAATTGCAGACACAAAATTGGAGGTGCAAATTGCAATTTGGCATCAAGAGCCAGATTTTGCTTCCACTGAAGTCAGTGCTTCTGCATGCTTATCTTTGGTGAGAAAAGAGGGTGCTCACTACAATTTGTATAGAACTTCCAGTTAATCATTTCATTTTTTGTCTTGATATTTAAATGTTGGAAAAAGGTAAAACACAGTTACTCATTACAAGAAAGGGAAAGTAATGTATATATCTGAGTGTGTAAATATTTATTTTTATGAAATTTGGGAAAACCCAAATAGATTTTAAACAAAAATTCAAGGTACAAGGTGCTATGAATAGGGGAAAAGCACCATAATGTCTTTTGGCATTGTTATGACAGTAAAAATATTATGAGTATTGTTAATTACCATTTCATATCTATGTATAAAGGCCCTACACTTGCATACACTTTTACCTGTGAAATATATGGGACTGCTCTTAGTGGTTAAATGAAGCACGTGTATAAGTGTGTGAAGGACTTGGGCCTTCAACTGCAGAGCCAGGATGTGATTCTGATTATTACTTTTCAGTTTCACTTTAATTCTAATCAAATATTCATGTGATTGTATTGCTATGTAGCACCATATTATTTTCTGCCTGAAATGTTTTTGAACAGAGAGGTATTGGAAACAGGAGGGGAAAATACCAAAAAATGTATAGGAAGCAATTCAAAACTGTAACTTGTATTATGTATAAATAGGAGGGGGGAATATGAAAATGAGAACTATGGACTCTGTTCAGCAAAGGGTATGTAAGCATGCCAAATTTGAGCAAGTGGGTAGTTCTATTTAAGTCAGTGAAAATACTCCTGTGCTTAATTTTGGCACATGCTTAAGTACCTTGCTGAACTGAGGTCTATATCTCTGGGTTTAATTTTTAAAGTCTATGGTATAGACTTGTATTTCACTCCAAGCATGATTTTTTAATGGAAAGCTCCTTTTTTTTCCTACTTGTAGAGAAAATAGCTTTATACTGGTTTTATACATGACCTACTTTGCAGTGATTTCTGTATTTTTATGGAACTTCAAATAAAGGGAAATGTTGAGATTTTCTGTTTCACTATTTAATTGGTTTATAATACATCAGAACAAAAATATCAAGTCTTTAGTATCCTGTTTTTGTTTTTTATTCTTTCATCTTAAAATAATGAGTGCTGGGATTTTCAAAGGTGAAAAGTGAACAGTGCCCAAGTCTCAGTGAAACTCAGTTGGGCCGAACTGAATGTCTGAAAATCTCATGCTACCTAGTTGTTAACACTACTACTGATCCAGAATCTGCAGATGACAACAAAATGCTGCATATTGATTTTCATGGGTTTTACATCTATATAGAATATCTACATAGCAATCTTACATCTTCAGCACCCTTTATAAACATTAACTTTTCATCATAACACCTACCAAGGTGGGCATTATCTTCCAGTTTACAGCTAAGGAAATTGTCACAAAGACTTGACATAATAGATAGGATCACAAAACAGAAGGTCCTGCTACCTCTGTGTGTGTGTGTGTGTGTTCATTCTGAATTGCAGCTTGTCATCACTTTCTCAACAATTATCATACAGGATCTTGAGACCGATGCTATGAAGAGCTTACTTACATTTAATTTTAAATTAACTCGTTTATCAGCTTGATTCACTCAATCAGAAATTAGGGATGGAAAAGGATGCTGATATACTTCTCAAAGTTCACAATTGCAACATCTAACCAAAATTCTGTCTTTAGGGTTTTTTTCCAAGAGTTCTATGTATAATTATTAACTTACTCGGTTTTCTATTAAAGTTTTATTTACTTTTCTGTACTCCAGATGTGTGTGCATCTGTTATGTAAAGCAGATACTATGTGTCTAAAGATAGGGTGGAGTCAGGAATAAGGGAATTTGTGTGCAGCCATCTTAGTCTTGTTAGCAAGAGAGCAAGAGTCAGGCTAATTCTGACTCTTGACAACATGAGAGCTGTAATAAGACGCTGCCTTCCCCTCTATACGGAGATAAGGATGGGATGCTGACTCCAGTGAGAACCTTGAAGATAAGGTAGAATCTGGGAGGAACTAAGAGATAATTGTCTAGCCATTGTCGCATGTAATGGGAAAGTATATAAGCTGCTTCATAACTGTTTGTATTTGAAGATCTGCCCGGGGGGGCGGGGAGGTCCCCCGTCCGAATCAGGCTTCCCTTGCAATATTGCTCAAATAAACTGTCTCTGGCTACTTGTTGCTTATAAATGCAGAGTGAACACTTGTTTTCTTCCACAAAAGAAAACTTTCAAGTTATCTGGGAGACACTTTATCTGTGGTTTAGTCTGAAAGATGAAGCCCTGACAATGTAACACTGTATGTTTTGTAGGTCTTTGATTTTACTTTTCATTAAAGTGTTGGACAAAATTATTAAAAAATTGTTGGCAATACTTGGCGAGAAATACCAATGTAAGTACTTTCCTACCTCAAAGGAGTGGTGTAAGAATTAATTCATTTAATGTTGGGGAAGTGCTTAGAGAACACAGTGATAATGGCCCTGTAAGCAGATATATGTCATTAGTCCAAGGCTCTAATATGTCATTAGTCCTCTAATATGTCATTAGTCCAAGGCTACGTCTACATTGGCATGATTTTGCGCAAGAACTCTTTTGCGGAAGAGTTCTTGTGCAAAAACTCTTCCAGAAGAGGGCATCTACACTGGCATGTGCCTTTGCTCAAGAGATGTGCTTTTACGTAAGAGCATCTGTGCCAGTGTAGATGCTCTCTTGCCCAAGAAAGCTCTAATGGCAATTTTAACCATAGGGCTTTCTTGCGCAAGAAATTCATGTTGCCTGTCTACACACACTGGCCTCTTGCACAAGATCAGTTGCACAAGAGGGCTTATTCCTGAGTGGGAGCATCATAGTTCTTGTGCAAGAAGCACTGATTTCATACATTAGAACGTCAGTGTTTTTCCGCAAGAACTCGAGGCCAGTGTAGACAGGCAGCAAGTTTTGGCACAAAAGCGGATGCTTTTGCTCAAGATCATGCCAATTTAGACAGCCCAAGAGAGTTTAAACTTCATTCCTGGTTCAAACACCTTTTATGAATCATTAACCAAGGAATGAATTTTTTTTCCGTTGTTTCATCACAAGGACATTTTCATAGCTTAGCTTTGGGTTTCGTTTACTAAAGATAACAATCTTAAAAAAAATAAGAGGACTGGTTAAATACTATGTCAAAGCTGAATATGATTATAAATGTCTATTTCTTAGTTACTTTTTCCAAATCATACACTGCCCATTGTAGTACAGTCTAGTGACATCCCTCTATTCATATGAAGAAGCTTTCTCGTGCAAATTTCAAGCAACGTATATTTTAAAATGAGATAATTGATTTTATGGGTAACAAAATTACAAATTTGATCCAATAATTCAAGGGAAAAATTATTAAAAACAACTAGGAGGACCATGTTTATATACACAACAAAATGCCACCTCTCTGAACACCACTAGCTGTACTGTAGATGAAGAGATAACATTTCAAAAACTGTTTATTGCCTATATTAGACATCAAGACAGCTATGAAATAAGTATACTTACACCCATCACTCCCTGTCATCACGTGAATACCTTAATGTCAAGGTGGATGTAGAGCTTTA